CTCAAATAAACTATCGTTGATTCGTAGTCCAATACCAAAATTTAACGACTAAAACGTATGAAGTATTGATGTTATATGTTTGTAATTTTCTCAGAATTGTCTTTTCATTGGCCATAGGTACCCTTATACATTATTTTTTAAATGTTGTTCACAGAGAGCTTATTTTGCTGCAAAGACAGATCCACAATAAATAATTCTTGAGCTTCATTTAAAACGACAACAATAACACACAAGTGACATCTAGCAATGATCATAGCAAAGACAAAAACTTTCAAAGAGACAATACTATGACAATACTGTGAGCAAAACCTTAAAGTTACAATTCACGTGGCAAACGTTTGCAGCTGCTGTCACATTCAAACTGATTGTCGTAAAACTGTGCACACGTACATATGTTCGTGGATACAATAATCTTTGGTTTATCAGCATCTGGAAGAGCTCGGGTTCAATCCCCAGAAGACATTAAAGGTTTGAAGCTTCGAGAGTAGAGCTCGCCCCATCGTCCTGGTAGTTATAGAAGAAAACCAGAACACCTGAAACTTGTAGTTTACGTTCTGTTTAATACAACTGTTTCAATTATTAAAGATGATAGCGTTGATTGTAATATATTGCCTCTAAGAAAGTGGGAGTTATAGAGAATATTGTTCATTTTCAGAATACCCGTCACATGAAACTATGTCAAAGGAATCTTTTCCTCTGACTTCCATGTCGTTTCCGGTCTCTGCACACGTCACACGGAGGGGACTGCGGGCTGCTGGTGTGTCGGTTTCTCCTTGCAATGCCGTGAGCGCCAAGGGAGAAGACTGTCCTGCCCTTGGAAGAATCTCTTTCCTCGAACTCGGCTCACTTTCCCCGCTGTCTTGATCAATGCATGGGGGAGGAGAGGGACTGGTGGCTGAGTCGGTTAGCGTAGGAGCGCTGACGTCAGCACCTCTCAAGTTGGAACCCGAGTGCTCAGCTGCAGCTTGAGGTACTATGGTGTGGAACGAGGTGACGTCAACTTTGTCCTCGCTGTCTTCGTCGGGAGAGAGAGAGGTTGAAAAACTCCTTTCAGTTGGAGGGGGTGTTGGAGAACCTGTTGCCCTGTTATCTGACTGACTCAGAGAGCGATGACTGCCCTGTCCAGGAAAACCAATGTTGACATCGACCATCAACGAATTCAGACAAGACGATTCGTCCCTGTCTTTCATTCTGAGATCTTCGGCACCTTCAGTTTTGACTCCCGTTGACGAAAGAACCAACCCGTTATTCCGGCTCACATCCTTGTTACCAATCAACTGCTGGACTGAGTAGCCGCATAATCTGGACAACTCGTGGTTTTCTTTCTTGCCGTCTGCTCCCGGCGAGACCTCCATGACGTCACAGGGCACCAGGCTGTTCAGACGCCCCAGGACGCTGCATGGTGTGTCGTAGCCGACTCTCTGCTCCAGTGAGCCCCCGATGACGTCAAGCCGCGGCTCCGAGGGCTTTCTGTTCTTGGCTTTGATCACGTGCTTCTCTGCATTGAGCTTGTGTTCGGCTACTTCTGCACTGGAGATGTTCTCTTGCTTCTTCCACTTAGTCCTTCGGTTCTGAAACCAGATTTTAACCTGCAGGAGAAAAATGTGAAGAAAATTTGTAAAGCTTTAATACAGCTTTGTGTGTGTGTGTGTGTGTGTGTGTGTGTGTGTGTTTGTGTGTGTGTGTGTGTGTGTGT